GGAGTGACTTTGGGTGGGGGGCCCATGGAACTCAGCTCATTTTGGAGTTTGGAGAGGTGGGGAGACCCCTGTCTCAGCTCCCCATATCCCTATTATGTGTAAATCACCCTGTGCCTGTTAGGGGTACAGGGTGATCTGTCCTAATATTGTGTAGACATGTCCAGAAGATAGGTGGGGTGGGGGGTTGTGGATTGTTTGGTGTTATGTGGTTGCATCCCATTGTTCTATTGTTTGTCCTCCTCAAAAAAATTCTCTCTCTTGGCCTCCGAGACTCTGCTCTCTCCTGGTTCTCCTCCTACCTATCGCAGCTCCTTCAGCATTACCTATAACTTGGTCTCCTCCTCTCCACCTCCTCTTTCTGTAGGGGTCCCTTAAGGTTCTGTCCTTGGACCCTTTCTCTTCTCCATCTACACCTCCTCCTTTGGCCACTTGATAAACTCCCATGGCTTTAAGTACCATCTCTATGCTGATGACACACAAATCTATCTTTCTACTCCTCACCTCACCCCTTCAGTCTTCTCTCACATTACTAGCCTACTAAGTGACATATCAGCATGGATCTCACTCCACTTCCTCAAACTAAATCTTTCCAAAATGGAGCTCCTACTATTCCCTCCAGCCCATGCCCCCTCTCCCTGATTTCTCCATCAATATCAATAATACAACCATCAGTCCCTCCCCTCATGCCAGGGTACTAGGTGCAATCCTAGTGTCAGGAATGGACTCGCCAATGGTGGTGGGACTCACCTGCCTTGTGGGCTTCAGTACCAGGGCTGGCCAGAGGGTGCTCTCAGCAGCCAGAAGCTCACTCCTGCAATCAAGCCATCACCTGAGGCTGATTGCAGGAGGTGTATTTAAGGAATGGCCAGGCCTGCAGTCAGGGCCTTGGTGTATTGTTTCCATGAGCCCCTGTACCTGCATCCTGTCTGCTTCCTGCTTGATTCTGACTCTGCCTGAACTCTGCCTGCACCGACCTCGGCTACTCCTGACTAATCTTCTGCCTACTCCTTGTACCTTGTCTGCCCGCTAGCTACCGACCCAGCCTGCCTGACTACGTTGTGCTCTCTCTCTCTCTCTCTCTCTATATATATATATATATATATATATATATATATATATAAAATCAGTTTAAGGTTTCGGTTTGTTTCACCTTGTTGTACGTATTTGTGTTAGCTTTGGGTTTGGTTTGTTGCACTGCGTTTATGTTGCCCTTAATAAATTATATTGTTTACACGCTATACCTGAAGTCTGTGTTTCCCTGTGTCGGTCCACACATCTCTGGTCATTCCCGGAGCCCTGACACCTAGGCTCCCATCTGTCATTTCAGCCCGAAATCCAATCACTGTCCAAATCTTGTAGACTTCACCTCCGCAACATTCCAAGATACGCCCATTCTTAACCTCTGAAACCACTAAGCAACTTATTCACTCCCTTGTTATCTCTCACCTCGACTATTGTAACTCCCTCCTCACTGGTCTACCTACTGGCAGGCTGTCCCCTTTTCAGTCTAACATGAATGCTGCTGCCAGACTCATCCATCTTACTAACCATTCCATATCTGCCTTCCCTCTCTGACAATCCCTCCACTGGCTTCCCATTATCCAACGAATAAAATTAAAAACATTAACAATAACATATAAAGCCATTTATAACTCTGCCCCAAATTACATCACCAATCTTGTCTCCAAATATCACCTAAACCGTCCTCTCTGCTCCTCACATGACCTCCTGCTCTCTAGCTCCCTTGTCTCCTCCTCCCATGCTTGTCTCCAGATCTTCTCCAGAGCCTCCCCCATCCTCTGGAACTCTCTACCCCAATCTATCTGACTATTGCCTACTCTTCCCACTTTTAGGCAATCTCTGAAAACCTATCTCTTTAGGGAAGCCTATCCCACCTTCAACTAATAATAACGGAATCTTCTATTCCTCCTAGCAGTTCATCCCCCACAGTTATTACCTTTTCTACCACTAGCCCCTCCCTCTTAGATTGTAAGCTCCAAAGAACAGGGCCCTCCTAACCCCCTTTATAATGTAAAGCACTGAGCAAACTGTTGAGGCTATATAAATCCTATATAATAATAATAATAATAATAATAATGTGGGATCACCAGCTTGAGGGAAAGGAGACAAGAAAATGGTGGTTTTGATACTGTTACTTTTGTATGTAATAAGAGATTGAACATCTAACAAATGGCAAATATAGTGGAAGTTGTGACATACATACATACATACATACATATAAAATATCAATTAGTTAAAAAGAGTTGAGCTATAAATACATATATCAATTTGTGCAATTAAGAAATATTGAATATATAAAAATCCTTGGTGATATATAACATATAGCCAAAATGTAACACATAAAGTGAATGAAAAATGTGAAAAAATCAGGGCTTTCTTTCTGCCGGAACGCGGCGGTACTGCGTTCCGCCACCTTTTTCTTCTTGTCCCCGCTCACCGACTGCCTCTGCAGAGCTGACAAGCTATGCAGAGCAGCGAAAGTGACAGGTGCCGGACGCGGCTTGTTTATGTCATGCTTGCGCGTGCCCGGCACCTGTCACTGCCGCTGCTCACAGCCGGTGAGCGGGAACATGCACGCTTCACCCCCCCCCCCCCCTACCGCCAGCGTGTAAACATCGGGGGCGCGCGGCCACCCCCATAGGAAAGGTGTATCTTAGTACACCCGGCGGTGCGCGCTGACGTCATCACGCCCTCTGCTCGTCGATCCTACCATAGCGCGGATCGTCAGCATCAGGTAAGGAGCGGCGATACAATTTTTCTCGCTTTTCTTGCTAATGTGGGGGGGGGCAGTGTGTTACTACTCGCTATTCTTACTAATGTGGGGGGGGGGGGCGGTGTTAATTCCATACATTTACTTTTATAGCCCCTCCCAAATTTTACTTGCATTCCTGTTCTCTAAAGGGGTGGTCCTAGGGTTTGATGGGGGCGTGGCCAGGTTTGGGTGGGGGAGTTCCACCACCTTTCCTCTGAGAAAAAAAAGCCCTGGAAAAAATTATATATAAAGGTAAGTCCCCTTTAAATATTTATATAATGATAGCAAAGAGAAAAACGTCCCCTTAAGATTCAATATAGACTCCTGAAATTATTTTCCAAACGGTGCATCATCACCAGTGCCATCCATCACCAGGAATAGTGGATAAGATGCAGACCTAATAAATGTGTTTGACCCCCTTATTCAGAGAAGTCAACATGAGCTCAAATCAGCACAGCCTCAGTCACGTCCCTCCATGCCGTTCCCAGGGATGCCACTCTGCCAAAATGCAGTTTAAAATTTCATGCAATCCATATGTAAAGAAAGCACATATATGCTCCGCATAGCGTAAATATCAGCCCCGAAAGATGTTTCCCTTTGATGTAACACGTCGGAAGGAGCCTCCCAGTGACATCATTGCATACAGAATATACCGGTAGTGTGGTCCAGCTGGGTGAATTTTTAGATATGCGCATTTGATTTTATGTTAGTAAGTGTGGCCCTGTATTTAATAAGTGGTGTTTTTTTTTTTATATTTACGCTATGTGGAGTGTATATGTTCTCTCTTTATATGACATGGATTGCATTGCACTGAAAGTAGACACTCTAGGCTATGTGCTGAGAGGCATGTTGAGTCCAATGAAATCTTTTTTTCCCACAAGTTTTTGGAAAATTAAAAAAAAATTTTTTTTACACACATGCCATGGGTATATTGGGAATTACACCCCAAAATACATTCTTCTACTTCTGAGTATGGGGATGCCACATGTGTGAAACTTTTTGGGAGGCTAGCCGCATGCAGGTGCCTGAAATCCAATGACTGGTGCATAAATTTCTCATTTCACTTCCTCACTACCTATCACAGTTTCAGAGGGTCTGAAATTCCAGGACAGCACAATCCCCCCACAAAATTACTCCTTTTTAGAAAGTAAACATCCCAGACTATTTGCTGATAGGCATGTTAAGTCAATGGAATACTTGCAAATAATCACTTGTTGTCACTTAAATGATATATTGCTCATACATGCCATGAGTATATGTGAAATTACACCCCAAAATACATTCTGCTATTTCTACCGAGTATGGGGATACCACATACGCTTGTAAAAAAAAAAAAAAAGGCATTTTCCAAAAATTTGCGGTAAAAAAATAAATTTTTTTACCAATACTCAATAGTCAATACTCAACATGCCTCTCAGCAAATAGCTTTGGGTGTCTATTTTCCAAAAAGAAGTCATTTAAGGAGGGGATGTTTATGCCACACATTACTCACTCTTCTAACCACTTGAACACCAAGCCTTTTCTGACACTTTTAGTTCACATATAAAAAATCACTACTTCAAACCCCCAAACATTATATATTTTTTTTAAAGCAGATGCTGTAGAGGATAAAATGGTGGGTGTTGCAGTTTTTATGTCATATAGTACTTGCGCAGCAATTTTTTTCAACAGCAAATGTTTTTTAACCACTTGCCGCTCTGTCACTGCATATATACGGTTGCAGGGCGGCACGAGTGCGCAAAAGCACGTTTTAAAACGTGCGCCGCGCTCTCGAGGTTTTCACGGGCAGGGGACGCGCGCTCCCGCTGACCCGCGGGTTACACGATTTGATCCCGAAGGGATCAATCATTCGATTTCAGCCTGTGATGTCTGGCTGAAATCGGATGATCGGTCCCTGTCCTATCCTGTCCTGTGTTGACAGTTACACAGGACAGGATATGATGTCATTCTTCTCTGCCTGGACACATTCCGTTCCAGACAGAGAAGAAGACATACAAATCATGAGTAAAACAGCACATACCCACAGTTAGAACACACCTAGGACACTGTCAGGGCTCCGGGGTGTGACCAGAGGTATGTGACTGATGCAGGGAAACGCAGGCTTCAGATAAGTTATAAACAATATAATTTATTAAAGACTAACAATACAAACATAAACGCAGTGCAATACTAAAACATAACACAGTGCAAACGAACCAAACCAAACCACCCACAGATAACAGTACATACAATGCAAGCGTCATCAGGCAGGCCGGGTCAATAACAATCGGGCAGGTAGGTACAGGGGGTCAGGCAGAGAGTGGTCGGGGTCACAAGCCAGGGATGAAACAGGAGAAGTCAGCAGAGGTCCGGATCAGGCAGGGTCAGCAACGAATCAGTCAGACAGACAGGAACAGGGACAGGGACAGGGATGCAGGTAACAAGATACAGGGCCCAGGAAAAACACACACCAAGGCAGAGAATGCAGGTCTGGGCACTGGGTCATCAGGCATTGGATCGTCTGGCTCGACAGCGGGCACCGCGTCATCTGGCAAGGCAGTGGGAACCGAGTCATTAGGTACCGGATCGTCTGGCTCGACAGCAGGCACCAGGTCATCTGGCGCTGGATCGTCTGGCTCGACAGCGGGCATCGGGTCACTAGGCATGACTGCGGGCACTGGGTCATCAGGCATTGGATCGTCTGGCTCGACAGCGGGCATCGGGTCACCAGGCATGACAGCGGGCACTGGGTCATCAGGCATTGGATTGTCTGGCTCGACAGCGGGCATCGGGTCACCAGGTATGACAGTGGGCTCCGAGTCAGCAGGCATGACCGCGGGCACTGGGTCAGACATTGGATCGTCTGGCTCGACAGCGGGCATTGGGTCACCAGGCATCAGGTCATTTGGCTCGACCAGCGGGCACCGCATCATCTGGCAAGGCAGTGGGCACCGAGTCACTAGGCACGACATTGGGCTCTGAGTCAATTGGCACGACAGCGGGCACCAGGTCATCAGGTACCGGATCGTCTGGCTCGACAGCAGGCACCGGATCATCTGGCGCTGGATCGTCTGGCTCGACAGCGGGCATCGGGTCACCAGGCATGACAGCGGGCACCGGGTCATCAGGTACCGGATTGTCTGGCTCCACAGCGGGCATCGGGTCACCAGGCATGACAGCGGGCACTGGGTCATCAGGCATGATAGGATCATCAGGCTGGATCAGTTCATCAGGCTGGGTACAGACATCAGGCGGTTTGGATACTGGCAGAATGGTACTGGTTGGAAAGAATTTTCGCTTTTTTCTGGTTTTAACTACTGGAGCACTGCAAGTAAACGCAGGTCTGCAAACGAATGGAGCAGCTGAGGACAGAGAAGAGCTGGAAGATGGAACAGAGGAGGGAGCAGTTGCTACAGAGGACTTCTTTACAGGGTTCAAGAAAGGATAGGTGCAGCGAGTTGGAGCAGAGGACTGGTATGTGGTAGTTAGAGTATACTGGGCAGTCACTGGGGGTGCTGTCGGGGATGCAGGAAGAGTGCCTTGAGTGGAGGAATGATGTTGTAAGCTGACTGAGGCTGGGTGCAACAAGTCTGACCATGTCTGCAGTATGGGTTGAACAAAGCTCCGCTTACACAAAGCCTGTCTGGTCAAAGACTGCACTGCGTTTATACAATCTTTTAGTACCTGTGGTGAATAATGCTCCAGAAAGTAATCCACATCATCCTCTAATAACCATACCAGGGACTCTACCTGGTCGGCACTAAATGGCGGCAAAAATTCATCCCTGCATTCGGGGGTACCAGATGAAACCAACTCAGCACAAACCTGAATCAATGGCTGCACCTCAGAGAATTCTGTGCCCTGATCTACTAGAACATGAGCGATCCTTATACATTCTAGTAGTTGATCCCTGGGATACTCCTTCAGAGTCTGATAAGCATATTCTCTGTCATCAAACACTAGCAGAGATAAATACACCACCTCATCAAGATCCATCCTTCCCAGCAACAAGCCAAGATGGCTTCCCTGTGCAGCCACTTCTGGTCAGGATTGGCCTTGGTGTAATGTCAGGGCTCCGGGGTGTGACCAGAGGTATGTGACTGATGCAGGGAAACGCAGGCTTCAGATAAGTTATAAACAATATAATTTATTAAAGACTAACAATACAAACATAAACGCAGTGCAATACTAAAACATAACACAGTGCAAACGAACCAAACCAAACCACCCACAGATAACAGTACATACAATGCAAGCGTCGTCAGGCAGGCCGGGTCAATAACAATCGGGCAGGTAGGTACAGGGGGTCAGGCAGAGAGTGGTCGGGGTCACAAGCCAGGGATGAAACAGGAGAAGTCAGCAGAGGTCCGGATCAGGCAGGGTCAGCAACGAATCAGTCAGACAGACAGGAACAGGGACAGGGACAGGGACAGGGACAGGGATGCAGGTAACAAGATACAGGGCCCAGGAAAAACACACACCAAGGCAGAGACTGCAGGTCTGGCCATCCCTTAAATACACCTGCATGATCAGCTTCAGGTGTTTGGCTGGCTGCAGGGTTGAGTCTCTGATTGCCGGGAGCACCCGCTGGCCAGCCCTGGTACTGCAGCCCACAAGGCAGGTGAGTCCCACCATTACTGGCAAGTCCATTCCTGACAGACACATTTAACCCCCTGAACGCCCCCCCCCCCCAGTTAACCCCTTCACTGCCCTGTCACCAGTGTCATTAATCAGTGAACAGATTTTTACTGATCACTGTATCAGTGTCGCTGGCGACTTCCGATAGTGTTAGCGCCCCTCCCAGATAGCGCCAGATTGCCCGCTAGTACACCAGTAATCCCGTTTAACCCCTTGATCGCCCCCCCCCCCCCCCCAGTTAACCCCTTCACTGCCCTGTCACCAGTGTCATTGATCAGTGAACAGATTTTTACTGATCACTGTATCAGTGTCGCTGGCGACTTCCGATAGTGTTAGCGCCCCTCCCAGATAGCGCCAGTTTGCCCGCTAGTACACCAGTAATCCCATTTAACCCCTTGATAGCCCCCCCCCCAGTTAACCCCTTCACTTCCCTGTCACCAGTGTCATTGATTACAGTGAACAGATTTTTACTGATCACTGTATTAGTGTCACTGGTGATTCCGATAGTGTTAGCTTCAGTTAGCGCCCCTCCCAGATAGCGTAAGATTGCCACTAGTACACAAGTAATCACATTTGACCCCTTGATTGCCAGGAACACGCTCACTTGCACGCTAAACCTCCATTGCTAGTATAGTGTCTGATTGGATCAATATCTTTGATCAGATCAGCGCTATACCAGCTTTCACATTACTATAGTATCCCCAAAAATGCAGCGTTAGCGGGATCAGCCCCGACACCTGCCAGCACCTGCATTTAGCCCCTACGCCCCCCACCCCCTTCTCCCCCAGCAAGTGCAGTGTCAGTAGATAACTGTCACTTGATACATTGCACACAAAACCGCAGTGTTCACAGAATCAGGCCTGATCTCTGTTAGCACTTGTCGGTAAATTTTTTGTAGCGGTTCAAGCAGTCCCTGACAGCCAGGCGCTCTTTTTTCCCGTGAGTCGCACTAGGTACCTGTAAATTTAGTGGCCAAAATGTCCAAGCAAAGGTACTCTGTGAAGAGGCCTATAGGATTCGGAGCATGTCAAGTGAGAGCGAAGGGGAAGACTCACTGGCAGAATCAGGCTCAGAATACGAACCTATAGATAGCAGCGGCACCCTGACAGATAACTCAGACGATGAGGAAGAGGTCCCTGCTAAGATCAAGTGTACCCGATCCCATTCCCAGGTTGCTGAGGTGGTACAAATGCATGATGACTCTCATATGCAGCAGAGTGCCCGTACTAGTGCCGCACTACCTTTTGGTGAACTGGCGAGCACCAGCGACCTAGTACATCCTGGTCGTATACATACCAGCACTGCAGTATCACTTGGTGACGTGGCGAGTCCCATAAGTGCAGTACAAGCTGGTGCGATGGCGAGCACAAGTAGTGTCCCGCGGTCTCCAAGAATTCGCACACAGGCCCGTAGAGCCCCTAGTATCCTTCCGGATGTGCTTGCAAATCCCGATTGGCAGCCCACAAATTCTGCAGCACACTTACTTCCCCCATTCACTGCCCCACCCGGAATTCAGGTGGAAACAGCAAATTTAAATACTCCCCTTAAATTTTTTGAGCTGTTTTTCACAGATGATCTTTATGCATTGATTGTGGATCAAAGCAATTTATATGCACGACAATATATCGCCGCCAACCCAAATTCAAACCTTGCCAGACCATTCGCATGGAAACCCATTACGGTTTCCGAATTTAAAGTTTTTTTGGGCCTAACCCTCAACATGGGCATAAAAAAAATCAATTGCGGTTGTATTGGTCCATAGAGACCCGCTTGTTCACATGTCCGTGTTCTCTGCTGCCATGGCCAGGCATAGATATGAGACGATAATGCGTTTTATGCGCTTCTACGACAACACACTCAGTCGTCCTCGGGGTGACCCTGAATTTGACCAGCTCCACAAAATTCGGCCCCTTGTAAATCACTTTAACCAAAAATTTGCAGATGTGTATACTCCCCATAAAAACATCTGCATTGATGAGTCCCTCATTCAATTTTCTGGCCGCCTTGTAATCAAACAATATCTCCCCAGCAAGCATGCCAGATATGGGATCAAGATGATAAGACCTGTGAGAGGGCAACAGGCTATACATGTAAGTTTCGGATTTACGAGGGAAAAGATAGTCACATGGAGCCCCCCAGATGCCCACACTACATGGGGAGCAGTGGCAAGATAGTTTGGGACTTGGAGTCATCCATTTTCTATATGGGGTACCACTTATACGTGGACAAATTTTATTCAAGCGTGCCACTATTTAGACATTTGTTCAATCTGGGAATTTGCGCATGTGGCACTGTGCGATCTAATCGCCGGGGCTTCCCCCAACGGCTTGTAAATACCCGTCTTAGAAAGGGGGACAAAGCCTGCTTGAGAAACAAAGAATTGCTTGCAGTGAAGTGGAAGGACAAACGGGATGTTTACCTCCTGTCTTCCATTCACGCAGATACGACCGTAAAATTGCCACGGCAGCTGGTGTTGTTGAGAAGCCCCTCTGTGTCCACGATTACAACCTTAACATGGGAGGGGTGGACTTCAATGACCAGATGATGAAGCCGTACTTAGTTTCCCGAAAAGCCAAACGCTGGTACATAAAAGTGTCTGTTTATTTATTTCAATTGGCTGTATATAACGCTTTTGTTCTCTACAAAGCAACTGGACATAGTGAATCATACCTAAAATTCCAGTTAGCCTGGAATTCCATGCAGATGCAGTTAGCCATCTGCATGAGAGACATTTTCCCGATACCAATTTTGGTACCCCAACCCAAAGAAGACCCTAGAAAAGATGTGTCTGCAGCAAACGTGGAATTAGGCGTGACAGCCGCTATTGTTGTCCCTCCTGTCCTGGCCAACCTGGCCTCTGCGTTAAGCCCTGCTTCCGCCTCTACCATACACTAGTGAACTATTAGTATAGGGTACAGCACGGCACAGTTCAGGGCACATTTACACAGGGTCTCGAAAGATGTTAGGTAGTCAGGAAACTGGCTATCGCATTTGGAGAGACCCTACCATCTGTTTTAAAAATGTTTAAAGTTTGAAAAAAAAAAGTTAAAAAAAAAAAATTAAAAGTACAAATCCCCAAAAAAACAAAAAAAATTTAAAAACCAAAAATAGTTATAGTTTTTTTTGTTGTCATTTTTGTGATTGTTCTACTTATACTGTTTTATTGTTACTGTTTTATTGTTAACCATTTCTGTTTGCAGGAATGCTTTCAGCTGCAGCTGCCCACGCTGATTTATGTTTATTCTGACAGCAACAGGAACTTGCTCTCAGAATAGACATAAATCAGCGTGGGCAGCGCTGTTGGATGAGATTTTTCATCCGCAGTTAAAAAAAGAGCATATATGCCGAAGCATGGGGGCTTGGGGTGGCCAGTGGGTGGATGGACCCTATGCTTCGGCATATACATTTTATATTTGTTGGCACATTTCATACACATTTCCTGCAACGCCCACCATTAGAAGTGGGTGGATGCAGGGAGGTTTCTAATGGTGGGCATACCACCACACACTTTTCCTTGCAGAGATATTTCAATTATAAAGTTGTTTTATTAAGGTTGTTTTATTGTTAACCATTGTTGATTTCTTTGCAGGAATGTCAAACTGCAGCACTGACCTGTTTATTCTGACAGCAACAGGGTCTTGCTTTCAGAATAGACATAAGTAGGTTTTTTCATCCACAGTTAAAAAAAGAGAATATATGCCAAAGCATGGGGGCCTGGGTGGCCAGTGGGTGGATGGCCCCTATGCTTCGGCATATATATTTTATATTTGTTGGCACATTTCATGTGTGTCCACCATTAGAAGTGGGTGGATGCAGGGAGGTTTCTAATGGTG